GCAGTAGGACGGGTGTTGCGCCGGGGGGCTAGAGGGAAGAGGTGGGAAGGGTTGCGGGGGGGGCTACTGAATCCTTCTGGCTCTGGGGGGCAAGGGGAGAGGGGTGGAGGGATGGATGGATGCAGAGATGGAGGGAGGGATGCAGGGATGAAGCAATGGAGGGATGCAAGGATGGAGCGATGCAGGGATAGATGGATGGAGGGATGGAGGGACGCAAGAATGGATGGAGGGATGCAGGGATGAAGCAATGGAGGGATGCAGGGATGGAGGGAGGGATGGTGGGATGGATGCAGGGATGGAGCAATGCAGGGATAGATGGAGGGAGGGATGGAGGGATGCAAGAATGGATGGAGGGATGCAGGGATGAAGCGATGGAGGGATGGATGGAAGGAGGGACACAGGGATGGAAGGATGCAGGGATAAAGTGATGGAGGGATGGAAGGAGGGATGCAGGGATGCAGGAATGGAGGGAGGGATGGAGGGATGCAGGAATGAAGCAAAGGAGGGATGCAGGGATGGATAGAGGAATGCATGGTGGGATGAAGGGATAGAGGGATGCAGGGATGAAGGGATGAATGGAGGGATGGAAGGAAGGAGGGATGCAGGGACAGATGGAGGGACACAGGAATGGGTGGAGGGATGGAGGGATGGCCAAATGGTGAGTGGATGGACGGACAGGTGGGTTGATGGGTGGCTGTGTGACCAGCTGGATGTGTGGATGACGGGTTGCACGGATAGACGGCAGGACAGACGGACGGATGGGGTGAGGCACAGCCCATGCTGAGCCCCAGCTGCCTGGTGCAGCCGGGGCAGCGGGCGAGGTTACAGCCCCGATAAGGATCTGTGTTTACAGTATATATTTCATTACCAGGTCTCCTGTTTACAGCAAACGAGCCCGGGAGGGGCCCGTATTTACCTCGCCGCTGGGAAAACATGGCAGCCGGGAGCTGGCCTCTCCTCCGGAGGATGATACAGCGCGGATCCGGTTACCCCCGCCACGCTGCCGGTGCGGCACGCTCCCAGCGGCAGGGGAGCAACGGCCACATGCCAGGGCCTGCCATCCCCTTGTGGCTCCACCACCCTTCCCCAGCGCCCTCCCAGTTTACCCCACAGCCACCACGGTGCAAACCAGCACCATCCTGGCAAAGCAGCCGGCATGATCGAGCCCCGCACCGCCGGCACCCACCTTTCTGGCAGTAGCTGGATGTCCAGCAGCGATAATCCAGCTGCCCGTTGACGCTGGTCTGCGCACACGGCTTCTCCACGTCCAGGATGCCCGGGCAGACGTCGGCGCACTCTTCGGCCAACTTATTGCCGACGATGTAGGTGTTGTCCACGGCGTCGGGCAGCAGCAGCCCCCAGTCGATGGTGGAGAGGTGGCAAAGCTCCTGGTTGCGCTCGATGCGGACCGAACCGCGCAGGACGTGGCCGAGGCTGTGCAGCCCCACGTCCCGCAGATGCGGCATCTCGAAGATGACCAAGGCGTAGCTGAAGAAGAGGTTGGTGCCGCGGATGACGGAGAGGTTGGGGAAGAGATCCCGCAGGCTCTCCAGCCCGTAGACGCGGAAAAGGAGCAGGTACTCGGTGATCATGAGCAGGCGAGGGAAGCTGAGCCCCCGAAAGTCCTCGGCGCCCGTGGTGAACATCAACAGGATCTGCAGGTTGCCCTCGATGATGGAGCAGTTCTCCAGCTTCTGGAGCTGGGAGACGTCGTTGCGGATGTCCATGCTGCCACAGACTGGGGTGGCGAGAGGGGGACCCCGTGGGCAGCGGGGACAGGGCAGCTGCCCCCCTCACCGCCGCCCAGGGACCCCCCCACCGCACCCATCGCTGGGGCCGCAGAGATGCTCGAGGGGGTTTAATATCCCGGCCCTGCCTGTCAAACGTGGCTGCAATTGGTTTGGGCGGCCAGGGAGATGCGAGCGGCTCTGACAGGCGGCCGACGCGCCGCGGCTCTCCGGGGCACGATGCGTCCGTCAGCGCGGTGATGCTAATGAGGTCTGGCTGCCCGGGCAGCCGTCTCGCCCCGTGTCGGCCCAGGGAGCACGTCCCAGCCCTGCTGCCCTCCCCAGCGGGGTCCGGCTGGGGGTGCAGAGGGCTTTCCCCCTTCCCCGAGCCGTGGGGCAGCCGTGGGGGGCTCACGGCACCGTGGTTACCCAGCGGGCCAGCAGCTCCCATGAGATCGTTCCCATTAACTCCCCGGCACAGTGCCCAGGCAGCTAACGGGGCACGCGGGGCTACACGGGTTTGCCGTCCTGGGACTTTTCCACCCGGATTCCCCCCTGCATCTCCTGCTTCCCGGTCCCGGTGGGGATGCAAGAGCCGGGACAAGCCGGCGGCTTCCCACCAGCAGCATCCCCAGCCTGAAACCTGACGCCGAGTTATGGTGGAAAGAAGCTGCTGAGATGCCGGTGAGGGATTTACTGTAAACACCCCGAGTAAACACGGCCGGCTCCGCGTGTACCCTAAACACCAGGCAACGCCAGTACCACGGCTCGGCCACCCGTGCCGCAAAGACCCGCTGGCCGGCACACGGCACACGGCTCGCTGGCGTGGTCCAGGTGCTGGTGGGCATCTGGGTGCGCGGTTCGCCCCTCGTCTGTCCGCAGCCAGCCTGGGCCTGCGGCTCGTGGCCGTATCCTTGGGAAGACGTGCCCGGTGGCGTTTTTTCCCCTCTTGGTGTCCCTTGTTAACCACGGGCACCGTGGCCCTGGCGCAGACACCTGCCCCTCGCCCCCAGCCCTGCACTGGGGCTCGGCCCTTTGCAGGGGGCTGGTGCTGGCCGGGGGGGGCCCTGGGTCCCCTCTCCCCCCCAGTGAGGACACGAGGGTCCCCTCCATCCTCCCACGGGATTGAGGGACTGGCTGTGGGTGCAGCACCACCTCTGGGGTTACAGCCCCCGCTGCCACCGTCACCCCCCCTGACCTTGGCAGTCACCCCGTCCCTCCACCGCGCAAGGGGACAGGGGTCCCCCGTGTCCCTGGGGGGACAGAGAGGGGACAGGGGTCCCCGGTGGGAGCAGACACAGCGAGGCGCGTCCCCTGGGGAGCTCTCAGCATAGCCCCAGCGCTGGGATGCTTCACCCCCCCACCTCCATCGCTCCCACCCGCCCAGCACACCCCCTCAGTGCTCGGGGAAACTGAGGCACGGGGCAGCGGGGAGAGGGGAAGGCAGGACAGACCGACAGACCCTGACCCCAGCCCTCCTGGTGCCCCAGCCCCTGCCAGCCAGCGGAGCTGGAGTGGGAGCCCAGACGTCCCCTGTCACGGCCATGGGTACCGGGACCCACAGCCGCTCCCCACCGTGCCCCCCCCTCCCCAGCCATTTTCCATCCCAGTAGCAGCACTGGGAGCAGCGGTGCTGGCTCTGGCTCCCGCCCAGCCACGATTTTCCACCATCCCGGCTCCCGGCTCCAGCCAAGCCCCCTGCCACACTCCCCTTTTCCCAGCCCAGCAGTGGGGGGGTCCCACGCTCTGCCCCTCCTGCCCTGGACGGGGGGTCTGAGGCATACGGGGGTACTGCCATGGGGGAAACTGAGGCAGGGAGCACCAAAAGAGCTTTGCCTCGGGGCTGGGCTCTTGCAGACCCCCATGCATGATGCCATGCAGCCCCCCCCACCCCAGAATTGCCC